CTAGGGCAGGGAGCAGGCTAGACAGGTGCATCCATCAACACACATGTGCACACACACATGCCGTCTAGACCAATAAGCAGGGCACCTTTTTCACCTTGAGGCCAGGATCCCTGGAGGAACAGGACTGAGTCACCCTCCTCCCCGCCTCTGACCTTTCCCAGATTTCACATTCATTTTCTTTCTCTCTCTGACATACAGCCAAACAGTAGCTGTGCAGCTAAGCTTGGAGTGCAAGTACAGGATGCTCTAAACCAGCCACGTGGCAGCAGGACAGAAGAGGCGAATGCCACTGAGCATCTTATCTGTCTGACATAAAGGGCGCTGGCTCATCCTGGCAAGACTTGCCAAGGGAAAGGAGGCCTACCTTGTTCCCTAGCTAGTTATTTGCGCCACACCCACAGCTCGTGCGCCACGAAAGCTGGTGGAAAACGAGATCTTGAAGGAATGAGGCAAGCATACTTTGTCTAAAGTTTGGAAATCATGCAGTTACGGTGCGGATTTTTCAACACGTCAGACAAGGGTGCTGAGGAGCTCATAGAAAATATGCAATTAAGGTGTCACTGGCTGTCAACTACAGCTGGCTCAGAGTTTGTGCACACATGTGAGTGTGCTGTTGTTTGCATTCACAGAAACCACTCATTCACAAAAATTACACAGAATTCACTGCTGAGGTGTGGTGATGGCCACTGGCTTACAATGGCTTTAAAAACAAAAGTTGAACAAATTGATGGAGGGTGACAGCCAATAACTGTTAGCCATGATATCTAAATAGAACCTCCATATTCAGAGTCAGTATACCTCTGAATACCAGACACTGGAGACAACAGCAAGGGAAGACCGCTGCATTTATACTGTTTTTGCACTTCTCAAAGTCTTGTATTTAGCCTAATCCACAAGGGCTCTCATGCAGTCATGCAACTGCGTACACAACTACATATTTAATTACTCTTCTAACAAGCCTTTGTACTTTCATAGGGAAAGAGCCCGATCTGAAACTCTAAAGAACCACTGTCAATCAACGTAGACAATACTGCATGAAGGATGTCATCGGCCTGACACACTATAAAGGAGCTTCTACGTTCCTCATGTACTTAACAAACCCCTGCTGTAACCAGACCCTTGAGAGATTTCTTTTTAAGATCAGTGCTTAATGCAAGAAATCTTTCATTTCAGTATAAAGTGAAGCAAACTGTGTCATAGATGAGGGCAAAACTAATCCCACCTCATGTTTTCAAATGGGAGCTTCTGGACATTCTCTTTCTCAGCACTCTAAGGAAGATTTGCAGGCTAGTCTTATGCAGTGACCTCAAGTCCAGTGACCTCAACAGACTTCAGCACACCTAACCCTTAACAGCATTGACTACTTAGCTGTATTTACATTCTCTGTGCAACCGAGAAACTTGCACAAAAGATATATGAATACTTCTACTTCTAAAAGAAGTAGGACCAGTAAAAACGCTGCCAATTTTAAATTTATTATACTGTTTTAAATATTATTTTATTAATTTGTTGTTGAATAGAGGTACAGAGTGGGACGCGGGTGGCGCTGTGGGTTAAACCACAGAGCCTAGGGCTTGCCGATCAGAAGGTCGGCGGTTCGAATCCCCGTGACGGGGTGAGCTCCCGTTGCTCGGTCCCTGCTCCTGCCAACCTAGCAATTCAAAAGCACATCAAAGTGCAAGTAGATAAATAGGTACCGTTCTGGCGCGAAGGTAAACGGCGTTTCCATGCGCTGCTCTGGTTCGCCAGAAGCGGCTTAGTCATGCTGGCCACATGACCCGGAAGCTGTACGCCGGCTCCCTCGGCCAATAAAGCAAGATGAGCACCGCAACCCCAGAGTCGGTCACGACTGGACCTAATGGTCGGGGGTCCCTTTACCTTTAGAGGTACAGAGAATCCTAAGCTCCCTGCCATTTCACTAGGTTATCTCTCAGGCAAGCCCATACCATGCACTAAGAGGATGGGGGGATGATGATGATAGCGCCTTGCTAGTAATATTATCATGCCCTTTGTGCAGGTGTGGGCAGAGAAGAGGTCTGAACAGGGAACCTTCTGGGTTCTTAGATACCATACAATACTACTTCTGGGTGGTGAGGCAGGGTTAGGGGGACAGACAAATATGCTGACAGTTTTCCAGGCCGCTGCTTGAACCTGTTACCTTTTCTGAATCCTTGGAGGTGGCAATTGAGCTTCCAGCATCTGCACCTCCTCTATCTGCCTGCCTCTTCAACGTCTGCTTCTTCATTCTTGGGCTTATTTTCTGCCCCTCATTAGCAATTTCAGTCTAAGAGGAATGATAAAGTGTCACAAAATGAAAACAGACGGACACACGCTCTCTTAGTGTTTCCTCCCTGACAACCTAACTGACTTTAAGACCTTGAGGGCAGGAACCCAACTTCTTCTTTTGGCCCAAGTCCCTCTGTAAATTATCAGATCAGATGCTGTTCACTTGTCAGGATCCCTCCCCTCCCACAACAAGTTACCATTCCTGATAAAAAAAATTGGTGGGTAAGAATAGCGGTCACTCAGGCTTCAGTCTTGCCTCGGACCTTAAAGACACTTCTCTAAGCCCAACCTCCTCCTGGACACCCTACACATAAATCGTACCTTGCAAGACATATTTTTTGTCTCTCCTTAAAGGTCTCCAGAAGATTCCACAACTAGCTAAGCCTGTTCCATGGAAGCCCAGCTATGTGTCCCTATTTCCAGCTTAGGCTGCAATCCTATCCCCTCAGCTGGGAGTAAGACCCATTGAACTCAATGCAACTTGCTTCTGAGTGTAGAAGGCTGTTAATTTGCTACAGTCAGGGTTAAATGCAGTCTCCCTGGCCCTGCTTCTCTGCCTTTAACAGAGCCTGACATCCAGAAATTTAACAAGCTCAATTTTCCCCTGGCTTGGAAATAAGTGGTAGGAGCACTTGTTCAATTTCTATGTCAGGCTACCGTCAAAGGCTCAGGGGCAGTTTTGGGGTGGTTGGTTTTTTTTTTGGTAAGGTATCTCCCCTGGCTACTAATGGAACCCATTAAACTTTCCTTCAACAGACCCTTGCAATCTGCCGTTCTCTCTCTTCTTCACCGCTGCCTTTCACATTATATAAAAAAAAAACCTAACATGTCTCTCTTTTGGCTCTAAGCTGAACACACGCTCTACTTTGGTTTTCTAGTGAAAATCAACAGATATCTCTGCTGAGGCCTCTCACATACCAAACAGTGGAGAACTGCCAACTCTTGCCAGGCACTTTCTAAACCTATAAAGGAACTGCCCAGCACCCAAATTAGTCCAGCCTCCTCTTGCCCCACCCTCTCCAGCTCCCATCTGCAGCTCAATGTGCAAGTGTGAGACCTTTTGCATTATACGAAAATACGTAAGAATTCAGACATCCCCATGACTGGCATTAATCCTGGTAGTTTTGGGCAGCACATCACCATAGCTGATCCTGGGATGGCCAGCAAGCCTCAAGCAAAAGCCTGTGTGCTGGGTGGCTGTAGGAAGGGTGTTCTCAGGAATAGCACTATCATTTCCTTGATGGAGGGGCGGCGGAGTGGATTTGAGTCCCACTCTGCATGTAGCAGCAGTATCAATAGGCTCCATACCAACAGCAACTATCTATTTTGTTTATTTATGGAAAAAATGTATGGACATCTTTTTCACTTGCATTCCCGAAAGGGGAATATATTGGAGGGGGAGGCTGGGGGGCTTCCTTCCCTCTCAGCTCATGTGGGCAAATTGTGGGCTGCTTGGCTCTTGCAGAACCATATGGGGAGTGAAAACACTAAGAGAGTAGAAATGGGGGAACTCTGCCACAGATTATTAGTGATGAGCTGCCCATAGCCAAACAGTCTTAAGGACTACTACTCCGAAAGGGAGCGCAAGAGCACGCGGAGCTTGGAACCCATTTCCCCATCACTTCCCTTACAGCAAAAAATCCAAAAAGCACAAGACCTCCCAACCAACTATAATCGTGCAACCTCAATTTGCCAGTTTATGATGGAATCCCACCCGAAAACAGCAGCTTCCTAGAAGCGCCTGCCTCCAGCTCTCGTATTCTTTCCCTTTCATCTACACTGCCTTTCGCATCTTTCCATCTGGCTGTTTCTTTCTGTTGCAGCCCCTCCACTGCCAACACAGAACACGCTTCTTCTTTCCACCACCCACAGGCTCCACACACACGCAAATGTACATATTATATATAATCACCAAACCTAAACTAGCATTCAACTACTTTCACATTCGTGGCTTCCCTCTGGGCAGGCATGTCCAAGAGGGAGATCTACTGGTAGATCACGGGGTGTTCCTGGTAGATCTCTGGTCCGTCAGTTATCTCCTTCTCCCTCCCCAAAAAAGGGGGAGGGGAACCAACTGCCAGTTTTTTTAATACTATGAGTAGATTGCAGTTTATCTGGAGTTGGATATCCCTGCCTCTGGGGAACAATGGGCACTCGCTATATATATGTTGTTGTTGCTGTTTAGTCATGTCCAACTCTTTGTGACCCCCTGGACCAGAGCACGCCAGGAACTCCTGTCCTCCACTGCCTCCCGCAGTTTGGTCAAACTCATGTTAGTAGCTTCGAGAACACTGTCCCACCATCTCGTCCTCTGTCGTCCCCTTCTCCTTGTGCCCTCCATCTTTCCCTTTTCCAGGGAGTCTTCCCTTCACATGAGGTGGCCAAAGTATTGGAGCCTCAGCTTCAGGATCTGTCCTTCCAGTGAGCTGATTTCCTTCAGAATGGAGAGATTTGATCTTCTTGCAGTCCATGGGACTCTCAAGAGTCTCCTCCAGCACCATAATTCAAAAGCATCCATTCTTCGGCAATCAGCCTTCTTTATGGTCCAGCTCTCACTTCCATACATCACTACTGGGAAAACCATAGCTTTAACTTATACGGACCTTTGTTGGCAAGGTGATGTCTCTACTTTTTAAGATGCTGTCTAGGTTTGTCATTGCTTTCCTCCCAAGAAGCAGGCGTCTTTTAATTTCATGACTGCTGTCACCATCTGCAGTGCCGCCATATATACGTATATATACATATATATATATATATATATATATATATATATATATATATATTTGGTGAGGGAATGGCGTTTCAATTATAAATGTGACCCTGCCACCCACCCAAGCATGTCTACTCATAAGTAAATCCCCAAGTTCAAGGGAATAGGAAATGCGCTTAGGACATAGAGTCTGCCCCACCGGGCTCACTTCTGAATAAACAAGCCTAGCCTCCCTCACTTGCTTTAGGCTCCAGGACATGGCGGGCAGCTGAAATGGCTCCTGTTTCTTGCACCTAGACATGCCCTGGATGGATTCCCCAGTCACCTCCGTCCCTCTCTTTGCTTCAGCACCCTACGTCTCCCCACATTTCCCCTCCAATCAAAGAATCTTAAGAGTGGGAAAGGGACCCAGGAGTCATCTAGTCCAACCCCCCGCAATGCAGGAATCTCAGCTAAATCTAGGCTGACAGCTATTTGTACCCAGACTCCATTTCATTGTGAAGGAACCAGCATGGCTTGGGTCGCAGACGGTGCACATTGAATTGAGGAATCTGGCAGGCCCGCATCCCAGTCCCTGCCTAGGCAGGAAACCCAAGGGGTGGACTTGGTGTGAGGAAGAAAATAGGCTGAATTGCATGCAGGCTCCCAAGGCGATAAATTAAAATACGGCAGAAAGCGAGAGGCATCTTGAATGGCGACAGTTGTTTCACTGCTACATGCAGACCGTGGCAGCCATTGTGGGTGGGTTTTATTTGGGGGGGCGGGCGCACTGTTCGATTTTGGACTTATTATTATATATTTATTTATATCCTGCCTTTTTTCTTGACAGGGAGTCGCTCAGGCAGCGTGTGAGAACAAGTTGCTGGGCTAGGTTTATTTTATAATCTTGTAAGATTTATGCGACGCTCGATTGTTAAAAACAAACTAACAAACAAGGAAAAAAAGCCCAATCATCTCAAACCAGTTTGCAAAGACAGGCCCCACATGTATTTCCTGATTTCATAGAATTTATACACTACTTGATTGTTTAAAACAACTCAAAGTGGTTTACAAAGATGGGCTGATCTAGCAGCCTGGCATAATAATAATAATAATAATAATAATAATAATAATAATAATAATAATTCTCAGTCACGACTGAGGCTCAAAACTGGTATCAGGCCTGTACCACTTCAGTGATTGAATGCTGTACCACACGGAAAAATCCAGAACCTGTAGGAAACCTTATCAGTTTAAAAGTACTTCATTGGGGGTTTTTTTTTGCTTTTTAAATACTGTATTTTAATTTTTGTGTCCTCCATAAGTAACGTACGCTGTTACACTACAGTCGTAAATTAACTAAAATAAACTTGAAGCTGAGGGTACAATGCAACAGAAAATTCCAGCGTCTCCTGGCGTTTCTGGAAATGTCTGCCTCTTCTGCAAAACTCAGGCTGCTTTCTATTGCAGGCCCAGGAGACGGGAGGCAAATGGCTGCACATCGGAGACAGGGACCCGGCAGCCATGTTCTTCAAAAGGGGCTCTTCTTTTTTTTAATAAAAAATGGCAGCGATGGTGGCGAGACCACGCTTCCCAGAAAGTCACCTTGGAAAATGAGAAGCTGCCTTTACCTCACGCCCCGCCATTCTTGAGGAAGAATGAGCTGTGCGCACTCTGAGGAAGCAGCCAAAAAAACTACTTTTTTATTTTTATCATTAGGACCATTTTATAAAATTGGGACCGTTTTATAAAATTGATGAATGTTAGGAAAATGTTGAAATGAAATTATTTGGCTCTTATAAAAATGTCTAAAGAATTAGGTAAGAATGTTGTGGTTAGGAGAAGTGGGTAAAAATTAAGATTTAAGTTCTAAACTTTAAGGTTTTATATATATATATATATATATATATATATATATATAAGATAAGATGAAAATAGATTAAGGTAATGTGATGACAGAATATTATGAATTAGGGAAAGGATTTGAAAGATGGGAGGGATTTGCTGAAATAATAATTTGAACTGGAATACAGAGAAGAAAGGCGCGAGGAGGTCCGGGAAATAAGTAAATGAAAAATATGTGACAACTGAATTGTTTTTTAACTATTTTTATTTTATTTTTTTGTATCTTTTTTCTTTGGTATTTTTCTTATTTCTTTTCTATTTTGTAACTTTTTGAAAATCTTAATAAATATCTTACACAAAAAAAAAAACTACCATGGTAGGCCTCCTTCAAGGCCTAGCCAAACTGTGGCGCAAGAGCGGCCATTTTCCTGACACACACAACCAGCCCCCTTGCCAGACGATGGGATGGGCAATCCCCTATTTTGTTCCCCCTTCCAAATCTGAAAATTGGAGGGGGCAATATTCACCTCAGTTTATAACATGCCATTGTGGGGGGTGCATTCCCAAAACACTTCACTTTAGTGAATTTAGTTCATTTTTTAAAAGATAACAAGCTTAATAAATAATTTAAAAATTATTATTATTATTATTAAACTGCTCCATTGCACGAACTGCTACGGTAATTGAAAAAGCAATTAACGGACTGATATTTTTCCTTGTATTTATGGGCCAAGGAGGGGCTCGCTCAGCCTTTGCCCAGCACAAAAACGTGAGGGAACGAGAGTTGCTCCGCAGGACCAACGTAAAACAAAATAATATTCATGACCTGCTTGTTACGTTTTAATGAATTTTTACTCATTTAGTGTTTCATGTTGTCCACAGCCACTTTTCTTTTTTTCTCTCTTGTTTTAAGCACTTGCTTGTTTAAAGCAGAATGCAATGCAACAAGCAGATACCATCTTGCGAGCGCAGCACTGCAGCATTACGGCACCGCAGCCTTTTCCGTCCTCCCCCCGCAACCTCCAGCCATCTCCCCTGCTCAGGCCCCAAAGCCTCTTCTTCCCCTTATCCTTTCCTCCCAGCCAGCCTTCTCTCTCCCTCTCGCCTCTTTCCTTATCTTGTATCATGCCATTTCACCATTTCACGTTTCCCCAAGAGTCTCGCTTTCCCCCTCCCATTCCCTTCCTCCTAATGCCCCTCTCATGCATTGGGGAGGCAGGATGTAATGGAGTATTGTCCCGGAGGAAGGCACGGCTGGCTGGCAGGATCGCTTCGCGCTGCAACATTTTGTTGCAGGTCCTGTTTCCCATGGCCTTTAACAGACCCCCGACTGATGCTCAGCTCTGCATCCCCCAAAACAAATGCTCCTCTGAATTGGACTCCTTGGCAGGTTTTGAATAAACATACACAAACTTTTTATTGGTAACATATATATAGATAAATTAAGGATCTTTACAATTTTATAACATGCAGAGAATAACATGTGTTGAAAAACCAGAGAGAGGAGCTGAGGAAAGTCTGGGGGGTGGGAGGGAGGGCTTTTCTCTTTTTGGGGAGGGCGAGGGGAAAATGGGGGGGGGATGAGAATGATGTATTTTTGATGGATTGTTATTTTGAAATTCCTAATAAAAAAAATTACAAAACAAAACAAATGCTCCTCTTTCAACCTCACAGGGTGACCCTTGCCTAAACTGGCTGCTTTTCTCCGACTGACTGCCCCGCCGTGCCACCTTTCTGCAACTTAACACCATCTCACAAGTTAGCCACTGTTCTCTCCCTTGTAGGGAGCTCCCACCTGGCCCCAATGTTACAGATGCAACCGCACATTTGCCTTCTTGTCTCTTCACCATAAGTGTGGGAGGATTAAACCCCAAAAAGTGTTCACCCCACTTGTTGTCCTAGTGTATGTGTGAGTTATCACAGTGCACAAGGCACACATGTACACAGCACACATGTGGGGTGCAGGGGTGCTTTGTGAAGGCTGTGGGTTGAGACTGCAAACAGAGACCCACACCGGCACTATTTTGCTGGATGGGACTGATAAAGGCACACATTCCTTGATCTACCCAGCTTTCGCACATGAGGTCCTGCCAAAGCAGAACGTAGGCACTCTGCAAATGCTCAGTGGCACCTGACAAATTCACACACACCGCCTTCCCTACTTCCCCTAAAGTTGTTGTTGTTGTTTAGTCGTTTAGTCGTGTCCAACTCTTCGTGACCCCATGGACCAGAACACACCAGGCACTCCTGTCTTGCACTGCCTCCCGCAGTTTGGTCAAACTCATGCTGGTAGCTTCGAGAACACTGTCCAACCAACTCGTCCTCTGTCATCCCCCTCTCCTTGTGCCCTCCATCTTTCCCAACATCAGGGTCTTTTCCAGGGAGTCTTCTCTTCTCCTGAGGTGGCCAAAGTCTTGGAGCCTCAGCTTCAGGATCTGTCCTTCCAGTGAGCACTCAGGGCTGATTTCCTTCAGAATGGAGAAGTTTGATCTTCTTGCAGTCCATGGGACTCTCAAGAGTCTCCTCCAGCACCAGAATTCAAAAGCATCAATTCTTCGGCAGTCAGCCTTCTTTATGGTCCAGCTCTCACTTCCATAGATCACTACTGGGAAAACCATAGCTTTCACTATCCCATGTTTATGCTCAGAGCCACCTTGTGATATAGGTTAAACTGGTAAAAAAATGTCCCCCAGTAAATTTCATGGGTGAATGGGGAACTGAATCCAGGTTTCCCCCGTCCAAGGGCTCGTCCACACTCGTCCCACCACTTTCCCCCAGGGATACTCAATCCTTACTGCTGAATCGGAGCAAACGTCAATCAGGTTTCCTAGTGTTTGTTTCAATTCAGTGGTAAAGCGGGGGTTTCCCCAGGAAAATCAGCGAGGCAAACAGAAAACCTCTCGGACCCATGTTCTTTAGGCATGGGATGTTAGTGTGGACAAGCCGAGTCTGAAACATTCCACTGTTTCTTTGCCCTGATGGGTTTTTTCCCCCCACCATTCTCCTTGGTATGTGAGGGGAGAGAACTCTGCACACGCTCAGACGACAACAGCCTTCCCCAACTTGGTTCTCTCTGGATATTTTGGGCTACAAATCCCATCAGCCCCAAACCAGTACAACCTAGAGGGCGCAACACTGAAAAGGCCGGCCTAGGGTCAGATAATGTCTGCAGACAAATGTGACAATCTTACACACATGTGGTGCCAGTTCCCCATTCTCCTGCATTACCAGTTATTCCAGTGCCTTGTTTTTCCCTTC